TAAATAAATCTTAAAAAAATATATTGCTAAGACCAATGTCCCATACTACCTATGTTTTCCTCTAGGAGTTTCATGGTTTCTGGTCTTACATTTAAGTCTTTAATCCATTTTGAGTTTATTTTTGTGTATGGTGTAAGAAAGTGGTACAGTTTCATTCTTTCTCATGTAGCTATCAGGTTTTCCCAACGCCATTTATTGATGAGACTGTCTTTTCCCCATTGTATGTTCTTGCCTCCTTTGTCAAAGATTAATTGACCATGTAAGTGTGGGCTTATTTCTGGGTTGTCTATTCTGTTGCACTGATCCAAGTCTATTTTTCTTTTTTTTCTTTTTTTAAGATTTTATTTATTTTTTAGAGAGCGAGCAAGAGAGAAACAGCATGAGAGGGGAGAGGGTCAGAGGGAGAAGCAGGATCCCCGCTGAGCCGGGAGCCCGATGTGGGACTTGATCCCAGGACCCTGGGATCATGACCTGAGCCGAAGGCAGACGCTTAACCATCTGAGCCACCCAGGCGCCCCCAAGTCTATTTTTCTGCCAGCACTATACTGTTTTGATTACTATAGCTTTGTAGTATCATTTGAAGTCAGTGAGCATAATGTCTCCCACTTTGTTCTTCCTCAAGATTGCTTTGGCTACTCAGGGACTTTTGTGGCTCTATACAATTTTTAGGATTATTTTTTCTAGTTCTAGGAAAAATGCCATTGGTATTTTGATAGAGATTGCATTGAATCTGTAGATTGCTTTAGGGGGTATAGACATTTTAACAATATTAATCCTTCTAATCCATGAGCATGATATACCTTTCCATTTATTTGTGCCTTTTTCAGTTTCCTTCATCAATGTCTTATAGTCTGCAGTGTAAAGTTCTCCTTGGTTAAATTTATTCCTATGTATTTTATTCTTTTTAATTCAATTGTAAATGGGATTATTTTCTTAATTTCTCTTTCTGATAGTTTATGATTAGTGTATAGAAATGCAACAGATTTGTGTATATTCTTTCTGTATTCTGCAACTTTACTGAATTCCCTCATTAGTTCTAATAGTTTTTTTTTGGTGGAGTCTTTAGGGTTTTCTATATAGTATCATGTCTGCAAATAGTGACAGTTTTACTTCTTTTCTGACTTGGATGCCTTTTATCTCTTTATCTTGTCTGATAGCTGTTGTTAGGACTTCCAATAATATGTTGAATAAAAATGGTGAGAATGGTAGTGTCTGGGTCATGCAGTCAGTTAAGCATCTGACACTTGGTTTCGGCTCAAGTCATGATCTCAGGGTCATGAGATCAAGCCCTACATCAAGCTCCACACTCAGTGCAGAGTCTACTTAAAACTTTCTCTCCCTCTCCCTGTCTCCCCCATCACCACTCTCTCAAATAAATAAATAAATAAATAAATAAATAAATAAATAAATAAATAAATAAGTCTTAGGGGAAAAAATGGTGAGAATGGGCATCCTTGTCTTGTTCCTGATCTTAGAGGAAAAACTTTCAGCTTTTTACTATTGAGTATAATGTTAGCTGTGGGTTAGTTATTATAAATGGCTTTTATTATTTTGAGGTATTTTCCCTCTATGCCCCCCTTGTTGAGATTTTTTTATCATAAAAGGATGTTGAATTGTATCAAATGCTTTTTCTGCATCTATTGAGATGATAATGACTTTTATCTTTCATTTTATTAATGTGGTATATCATGTTGATTGATTTGTGTATATTGAAACATCCTTGCATCCCTGGAATAAGTCCCACTTGATCATGGTGTGTAATCCTTTTACTGTATTGTCAAATTTGGTTTGCTAATATTTTGTTGAGGATTTTTGTATCAGTGTTCATTGGGGATATTGGTCTGTAATTTGTGTGTGTGCGTGTGGTGTCTTCCTCTGATTTTGGTATCAAGGTAATGCTGACCTCATAAAATGAGTTTGGAAGTCTTCCTTCCTCTTCAACTTTTTGGAATAGTTTGAGAAAAATAGGTATTAATTTTTCTTTAAATGTTCAGTAGAATTCACCTGTGAAGCCATCTTGCTCTGGACTTCTATTTGTTGGAAGTTTTTTGATTACTGACTCAATCTCCTTACTAGTAATCAGTCTGTTCAGATTTTCTATTTCTTCATGATTTGGTCTTAGAAGATTATATTTTTCTAGGAATTTATCCATCTCTTCTAGGTTGTCCCATTTGTTGGCATATAATTTTTCGTAGTAGTTTCTTACAATCCTTTGTACTTCTGTGGTGTCAGTTGTAACTTCTCTTTGATTTCTGATTTTATTTTATTTTTTTCTTAATGAGTCTAGCCAAAGATTTATCTACTTTGTTTTCTTTTCAAAGAACGAGCTCTTAGTTTCATTGATCTTTTCTATTTTTCTGTCTCTATTTCATTTATTTTGACTCTGATCTTTATTATTTCCATCCTTCTACTAACTTTATTTTCTAGTTCCTTTGGGTTCCTTTCCATCCTTCTACTAACTTTATTTTCTAGTTCCTTTGGGTTAAGTTTAGATTGTTTATTTGAGATTTTTCTTGTTTCTTGAGGTAGCCCTGTATGGCTATGAACTTCCCTCTTAGGACTGCTTTTGCTGCATCCTATATATTTGGGGATGTGCTTTCATTTTCATTTGTCTCAAGGTATTTTTTGATTTTCTCTTTGATTTCTTCATTGACCCATTGATTGTTTAGTAGCATGTTGTTTAGCCTCCATGTTTGTGTTTTTTTCTAGTTTTCTTCTTGGAATTGATTTCTAGTATCAAAAAAGATTCTTGATATGATTTTGATCTTCTTAAATTTGTTGAGACTCATTTTGTGGCCTAACATGTGATCTATCCTGGAAAATGTTTCATGTGTACTTGAAAAGAATATGTATTCTGCTATTTGGGGATGGAATGCTCTATATGTATCTATAAAGTCTACAAACCCCATCTGGATGAGAATTCTCCCTCCATTATCCTCCCCACCTCCTTTTAGCCCTGAATTTTCCTTTGAGTTTTAGTATTATGGGTTTGATTCCTTTCCCAACCCATCTCCATCTCAGTTCAAGATCAGCCTGGGTCCTGGAAGATTCCTAACCTAGCAGCAGCCCCTAAGGTCACCTTCCTCCCCAAGGGAATGGTATGCAGCCATCTCAGCTCAGAGAGCCAATTCCACTAACGCTTTCAAAATGCAGCAACATCTCACAGCTCAGGGGTAGAGTGAGAAGTCAGGAAGAGTTCACACACCCAAGCAGCTAGAACCTGGTGAAAGTAGAAGCAGCTAGGGTAGAGGCTTCAACTGTTCTGCGTGCAAAGCACAATAAGTGCTTGCAACCTAGACCATTTGTGGTTGCCCTGTCTCTACCTTAGCTGCAGCCCTGCAGAGCTGCTGCCCCCACATTCTGGACTTGCAGCTGAGCAAAGGCATAGACAACTCAAGTCAAGAGATCTGTTGGAAAGAAAACAATAAGAGAAAATGTACAAATGTTAACATCTTAAGGTGAGTGGATAAAATATCCATTTCCTATTTTACTTCCTCACCATGTCCACCTCTCCCAATCAACAGAGTCACATTAGAAGTGCCTGCCAGTGTCAGATTGTTTTCCCACTTCCAGTGAATCAGAGAATCTAGAGCACAAAAAGTTAGAAAGTTCACACTCTCCATTCCTGTCTTTGGCAATAAGCACATTGAATTCTTCCCAGACTGTGTGGAACTTCTCACTTAAAGTCTTCCAGGAAAAACCTTACTGTCAGAAAGTGTATCCTGGTATTTTACTGAACGCTCCATGCTTCAGTTTAAACTCCCATGTTCTGTCCTCAAAGAAGGTGAAGGTGTGTGGCCTCCTTCTCTGTTGAGGGCTCATTAAGTAGTTTCCAGATTCTATCTGTTAAAAGTGATGCTGCTATGAACATTCTTGTATATGTCTTTTGGTGTCAATATAAATGTATTTCTGCTTGGTGTGTACCTAGGAGTGAAAATGCTGGGTCATTGGGTATCTTTATGATTCATTTAGATTTTGTCATGCAGTTTTCCAAAGTGGTTGTACTAATTTACACTCCCACTGGAGGTGTACAAGAGTTCTAGCTGCTTTACATCCTCGCCAGCACTTGCCTGTCTACCTTGATAGTTTTAGTCATTCTCTTGGGGGAGGTAGTGGAGTTTCATTTAGTTTAAATTTGCATTTCCACAGGGATTTATGAAGTCAAGCTTCTTTTTATATGTTCATTTGGCACTTGGATATCTGCTTTTGTAAATTACCTATTCAATTATTTTGCCCATTTTTCCAATGGGTTGTCTGTCTTTTTCTTACGGACTTCTAGAAAGTCTTATATTCTGGATATGGGTCCTTTCTCAGCCATGTGTATGGAAACTATCTTGTCACCCTGTGGCTTACCTGTTTACTCTCTTACTGGGTGTTTTAAGGAACAGTTCTCAAAATAATAACCTGACAGTCTTAAAACCTCAGATTCAGAACTTCCAGCCCATTCTACTCCAACCTCATCAATCCCTGAGTGCCTCCTAAACTGATGGTCCTATGGACCATTCTCAGGATTCCACTTTTCCACCTCATTGTAGTGTACAGACACATTTCTCCTTGGATAGGAGGCAAATTTGGAGAACTGGAGGTCACTCAGGGTGAGGGATGGATGATCTTAGTGTTTGCAGAACTGTGCTGCCTTCCAAGCTAAATGATGCTGAAATCACACAAATTCTGGCAGCCTCTGTATCTTTCCATAGCCTTGTCCCATCTTGGTTCATTAGCATGAGCTTTTCAAAACCACGGAGAATGTTCAAAAGTGCTTATTAGTAAATTACCTGACTCCTTCGGGCATCATGGTGAAGAAAGTTCACTTATGTAATACCCCTTCCACCAAAGAGGAAATATTATTTGAACTTTTAAAGTTTCTTCCCTACTTCCTCTATTTAGTGTATGAAGCAGTAACACCACCTACGTCATAGGGGTCACTCACCCACACCTGGGCCTGTGGCTTAGATGCTCTTCCCTCCACCCTGACTTTGCATCTGCCTTTATCTGGACCTATGTCCCTCCTCTGTGCCAGACCAGGCCCCATGCTGCTCTGCAGGATTGTGCTGTTCGTTGGTAAGTCACTGAGCATGAGCTTTCCCTCTTGGGTACCAAAGACTGTAAGTCATTTATGGGACTTCTAATTTCACCTTTCTGGATTCAAGTGGGTTTTATGGCTAGAGCTTGAAATGAGTGTGTGCACATGGGTGTGCTTGACAGAGATGTGGTGTGGTGGGGGGCCTCCCTGATGTTCCCCATCCCATTTTCCTTGGTCCTTGGAAGGGCAGGCTTTCAATGTATCAGAGCTAAATTAGGGAGGCAGAAAAATCACATTGTGAGGCCCAATGACATGTTTATCCTGTCAAATAAGATTAAATTACTCATCAGGCTGTCTCAAAAGGAAAATGAAGTTATAGAAGGAAAGAAGGCTTTGGGTAGGGGGTGGGCTGGAGGGATCAGGGAAATGGAAAAAGGCAGTTCTGTGCATTTTGCTCAGCAATAGGAAATGGGCTTTTACAAAAAGATATATTGTCATGAAGCCTCAGTGTTTTCTTAGAAGCAGTCAACCATGACCAGGCTTCTCATCTGGTCAAGAGGCTTTGCTCTGAGTGTCCAAAGCCCTTTACAAACTGGCCATCCCCCTTCTGCCTACGTCCTTTCTGTCAGGAATGAGGAGGAGGGTCTGTTTTGGGTCTGACTGGTCCTTGGGGAAGGTCTGAAGGATCAAATCCATTCTCCCTGATCTATATCTCTCTTCTTGACCCACCTCCCCAGGGGCCAGTCACCCATGCCAGCGATGGAAAGCCTGCTCCTCCAATAGTAGAGAATTATGGGAGTGGGGAGAGGGTCACTAGACGCCCCAGACTCAACTCAGTCTCAGCCACTATTACCTTTTACACTTAGAAGGAACAAGTCTGGGTGGAGTCACACTTGATGCTTGGGGACCCCAGAAAACCAGATGTGGAGGCTAGATGTGGAGGAACAGTTACCCTAAGTGCAGAGTTAGGGTATTTCCTCTTAGATGTGGGCAGAGACAAAGAAGAAAGCACTGGAGGCCTGCTTTGTAGTGCGTAATGTATCTCATCTAACCTTTAGAATCATAGGGTAGGTATTTTTCTATCCCTATTAAACAATTGAGGATACTGAGGTTCAAAAGGTTATGAAACTTGCATAGAATTACCCTGCTAGCAAGAGCAAAACGGAGATGCAAACCCAAATCCGTTGGTGCTTTCTCCATCCCACCGCGACACCTCCAGCAGGGCTGTGGTTGGGTTCTAATCAAGTAAGACTGGAAAATAAAATTCATTTCAAGTTCCTGGTGGGGTATGTTCACACAACAAATGGTGCCTATTACTATTATTGACTCTCAGAGATTCAAGAGGCCAGGGGCCCTGACGCTGAACATGCTGGTACACAGCTATACACTAAAGGTGTATTTGAAGTTTAGGAGATGAACCCTAATTTTCTTCTGTGCCAGGACTGGAACCCAACTTCTGTAGACATACACACCGCCTATGACAAGTATCTCAGAGCTCCCACAACACCACCACTCCCTAGCACCATGGAAGGCACAGCTTGGCAAAGCAGCATGCTCCAATGTGCTAGAGCTCAGTTATGAGCTAGTCCTTCATGCTTTGCTGAAACCTGCCTCCCTGGTCTCTCTCATTCCCATGAAATAGTCCCACTTCTGCCTGAAGTCTCTCCCCCTCTTTTAAGCTCCACCCACTGAATATTTGAAGACCACCGGGTCCCTACTCTGCTGTGTCTTTCTCAGATAAGTATCCCCCGACCCCTCGGGTGGGGAATGGTTTCTCGGCCCTGTTCATCATCCTGGTCTACTTGGTCTCGATGCACCTGGTCAGTGGGCCAGAAGCTGGGCCTTCCCCTCCCCCCCACCACGGCCTGACCAGCACCAAGGTCGACCGGGCTGCCGCCTCCATTGCCCGGGACTCTGTTGTGTGGCTTATGCAATGGCTGTGTCACCAGCTCATCTTCAGCCTGTAGCAAACTGGGGTCCACGGTCCCCTTTGTAGGAAGGGCTGTAATGCAGCCCCCGCCCCGCTGCGCCCCCCACGGCCAGCCGGCTTCATCACAGACACTGGTTCTGCAGGCACAGCTCCCAGGGGTCACAGCACTGGACAGCAGGTCATCGGGGCCTGGGGACACGAGCTCATCTGAAGTGCCCCCTGCTCTCTGGATGCCTTCTCTCTTGTAGGCTTCTGTGCCCTCAGCCCTGCAGACTCACCACTTTGAAGCTGCAGAGGTGTTTTTCCGGTAAACAGGGGAAAGGAAGGGGGGCATCACTACGTTGCAAGGTTTTAGTCACCCTGAGGTCAGGCCTTCTTTCTCCTTTCAGTGAATGCAGTAACCACATTTCCAGGGAGTGGGTCGCTATACGCAACCCCTCTGTAAGGAAGAAATGACTGTCATGCTTCTTATTGTATAGGCAGAATCAGGAACTGAAGGCTATGGGATTCAAACAGTGTATCCAAGTTCACACAGAAAGAGACGGATTCATGAGTCAAGTTCAGGTCATGTGATTCCAAACCCTGCATGCTTCCCACTACACCAAGCTCAGAGGAGAAGATGTGTTTAGATGGGGCAGGGGGAGATGGAGGGATGGCAAGAAAGACTCATCATGGGCGCCTGGGTGGCTCAGTCGGTTAAGCGACTGCCTTCGGCTCAGGTCATGATCCCGGGATCCTGGGATCGAGTCCCGCATCGGGCTCCCTGCTCTGCGGGGAGCCTGCTTCTCCCTCTCCCACTCACCCTGCTTGTGTTCCCTCTCTCGCTGTGTCTCTCTCTGTCAAATAAATAAATAAGAAAGACTCATCATTCTGCACACACTGAGAGCCTGTGGTTGAGCTAGCCAAGCTGAGCAGAGAAGTGAAGCTGAAAGCCTCCATCTGGGTCCCAGGCCGTGTGGACAACGAGGGTGACAGCATGTGAATCAACATGTCAAACAGCCGCATCTCAAGCCCCTGGTAAGAGGGTGTTCACCCACCCCTCCCAAGGCCACTCCCACATTTCTCCATGTCTGCACAGCACCTAGGACCGGTCAGTGTGAAGGACACAGTAGGGCCTGAGGACAGCTGGCCCAGCTGTGTTTGGCCCTATGACACTCATTGCTTCACCCCTTGTCCCAAAGTCTAGAACACTCTCCACCACTTCGTGTGTGGCTGTGCCCCTCCATCCCTTGGGCTACTAATACCTGTCTAACCTCATCTATCATCATATTGTGGCTTGGCCTCTCTTCCCAGGCCACTTTTGCTCCTCTAACATTCATTCATTTAAAAGCATTAGGGGCAGGCAGCTGGGTGGCTCAGTTGTTTAAGCAACTACCTTTGGCTCAGGTCATGATCCCGGGGTCCTGGGATTAAGCCCCGCATCAGGCTCCCTGCTCAGCGGGGAGTCTGCTTCTCCCTCTGACCCTCCCCCGTCTCATGTGCTCTCTCTCTCTCATTCTCTCTCTCTCTCAAATAAATAAATAAAATCTTTTAAAAAATTAAAAAATTTAAAAAAAAAAAAGCATTAAGAGCACCTGGCTGGCTTAGTCAGGGGAGCATGTGACTCTCAATCTCACAGTCATGAGTTCAGGTCCCACACTGGGCATGAAGTCTACTTAAAAATTTTATTTTTAATTAAATAAAAATAAATATTCTGCTCTGAGCCAACATGGCTCAGTCAGTAGAGCATGCAGACTCTTGATCTCAGGGTCATGAGTTCAAACCCCGTTTTAGGTGTAGAGCTTACCTAAATAAAAAGAAAAAAGCAATAAAGCAAAAAGCATGATTAGGTCAATTACATAAAAATATTTTGGGGCACCTGGCTGGCTCGGTCAGTAGAGCATGTGACTCTTGATCTCAGGGTTGTGAGTTCAAGCCCCACATTAGGTATAGAGATTACTTAAAAATAAAATCTTAAAAAATAATAATAAAATGATGATAGGTAGATAGATGATAGATAGACAGATAGATGATAGATGATAGATAGATAGATAGATAATAGATAGATAGATAGATAGATAGATAGATAGATAGATAGATAGATAGATGATAGATAGATGATGGATAGATAGATAGATGATAGATAGATAATAGATACATAGATGATAGATAGATAGATAGATAGATAGATAGATAGATAGATAATAGATAGGAGCATCAGGGCCGCATATAAAGGTACTGCAAACAGACCAGTGTGATGCACTGGCCTGTTTGTCATCCCCTCACTGATCAAAATGGCAGGCCAGGTCCCTCAACCTTTAGTGATTCTTCACCTCCTTCATCAGTCACTTCCATGCTGGACCCTCCAGAGCTCTATAGACAGATCGGGCCGCCGGACTGCATGGTCTCCCTTTGCTCTCTGAGTTCTGCAGGTGCAGACAGGAGCTCGGACCCACCCATGCAAGGGTCCACTCTTCTCTCTCCTACTTCATGTGCCCTGCCCCACATGGCTGGGCACAAAGGAAAGCCTGCAAGTGTTTACTCAACAGAGCTTGTTGAACACAGACTGTTCCTGGCACAGATCCTAGGCGTAGGTGACGTGACCGTGAACAAGACAAGCAGAGTCCCCGCTCTCGCAGAGCTTACATTCTACACAGAGGGAGACAGGTGATAACAAGGAGGCAGTTTAAAGAATAAGATAACTTCAAATAGAGACAAGTGTTCTGATGATAATACAGTGGGGTGTTGTAATAGTGACTGAGGAGAATTATTTCAACTGGGGGTCCCAGGAAGACCTAAGGGTGTGACATTTGAACTGAGATAGGGCAGAGTATTCTAGGCAGTGGGTCCAACATAAAAGCTGAGTGGCTGGGGGTGCTGAGGGCCTGGGGCGACTGGGGGGCTGGAGAGCTGAGTGGCTGGGGGGCTGAGTGGCTGGGGGGCTGAGTGGCTGGGTGGCTGGGGAGATGAGGGGCTGGGGGGCTGGGGGGCTGGGAGACTAAGTGGCTGGGGGCCTGGGGGGCTGAGTGGCTGGGGGCTGAGTGGCTGGGGGGTTGGGCATTTGGGTAGCTGGATGGTTGAGTGGCTGAGTAGCTTGGTGGCTTGGTGGTTGGGTGGCTAGGTGGCTGACTGGCTGGGGGGCTGGGGGGCTGGGAGCTGGCAGTTGGGGAGCTGAGGGGCTGAGTGGCTAGGGGGCTGGGGGGCTGAGGCTGGGGGCTGGGTGGTTGGTGGCTGGATGGTTGAGTGGCTGAGTAGCTTGGTGGCTGGGGAGCTGGGTGGCTAGGTAGCTGGCTGAGTAGCTGAGTGGCTGGGTGGCTGGGTGGTTGGTGGCTGGATGGTTGAGTGGCTGAGTAGCTTGGTGGCTGGGGAGCTGGGTGGCTAGGTAGCTGGCTGAGTAGCTCGGTGGCTGGGTGGCTGGGTGGTTGGTGGCTGGATGGTTGAGTGGCTGAGTAGCTTGGTGGCTGGGGAGCTGGGTGGCTAGGTAGCTGGCTGAGTAGCTCAGTGGCTGGGTGGCTGGGTGGTTGGGTAGTTGGGTGGTTATGTGGCTGGGTGGTTGGGTGGCTGAGTGGCTGGGGCCTGGATGAGTAGGTGCCCAGGGGGTTGGGTGGTTGGTTTATTGAATGGGTATGAGCACACATTCCTGAGATGACAGGCCTCCTTGTGAAAAAGTTCTTTCTGCTACTTACCCTAATTCTATCACTCTGTTCTCTTACAGTTCCCTGTGTTGGGCAAACTGGTGAATCTTTTCTATGTCTTTTCCAATTCCAAATATGTCTCTGGGCCAAAGATTGATTGATGGGCTGTTGGGTCCCCTGGAAACATCTTCAGAGCCACAGACTAGGCCCATTCCTCAGGAGTTCTGGCTGATGCCCAGGCAGAAATGAGACCTGGGACCCCACTGGGCTCAGGCTGAGGCTATTTCTAGGTGATTCAAGTCCCAGCAAATGGCTCTGGGCCTCATCTTATTCCCTTATAGCTGGCACTGGCCTCTGTCTCCTCCTCTCAGAGTGTCTCTGAAGCTCCTATATTCCCCACTGACCAAGGCCCTGGACTCCCTCCCGTCCCCTGTATGTTCAGAGAAGGCAGCTTTGTCCCTCCACTACCTCTACCTTCCAATCCATCCTGACCTTCATGGGGCTTTCCATCCAGTAGGAAAAATGCTGGCCTATGAACATCTTGACCGCCAAGGACATGTTCTGTGGTGCCAGGGTGGGATGAGGGGGTGCTGGGCAGAATTCAAACCCACGCTTCATGCTCTTAGAAAGAGCAGCAGTAAAAGCAAGGCTCAACATTCAGTTCTGTGTGAGCCTCCAGGGGAGGGGGCGGGTCCTAAGGATCCAGAGCGACCCAGGCAAAGGCAGGCTATGCTGGGGCTCCCCACCCATTCCTCCTCATTGCTCTCAGCTATCAGGCCTGGCTCCTGAGGCTGTCTGGGACCACTGGTGTCTGGCTTGTCAAAGAAGTATGCTCTGGGGACAGGCCCAGCCTGGGACTGCCCTGCAGATGGTGCTGGGCCCCCAGGAGCTCGTCTCTTGTCCACGTCAGGCCGCAGAATGCATTTTAGGAATGAGGACAGACAGAACAGATCCCTCCCCAGGACGGTGGTGGGAATGAAACTCCCTGTAGGGGGGTGGGAATGGGGGCTGGGCCGGGAGAAGGTTGACAAGGAAAGCAGAAGGAGCGAGCCCGGGGGAGGGGGGGACACTCCCCATACCCTCCCCCCAGCTTCTGGCTGGTAGGCCGTGTGCAGTTGTCCTCGGAGGTGGAAGCTGCACAGAGTTGCCCTGGGGGAGCAGGGGGTAAGTAGCCCATCTGGGGAGTGAGAATTGGGTCAAGGGGAAGGAGGTAGAACAACGATGGAAGGAATTCAACTCAACCCAAGCTTGGCGATGTTGGAAGGGCAGCTGGAAAGGAGCTGAGGAGGAGGTACAAGAGAAGAAGACCAGAGAGAAGGCGTGAGGAGAGCAGGGGAGGGGAGGGGAGCGGACTAGAGAGAAGAGGCAGGGAAGAGGAAGGAGGGCAAAAGAAAGCAGGAGACCAGCCCTGGTCTGGCACGAAGGCCTGGGGGACGGGGCGGCCACGCAGGTGCTGCCCAGGAGCCTCCATCCCCAGGGGAGGCCCGAGGCTGGGGGACGGAGGGAGAAAATGGGCTGATGGGACGTGCAGCTCCAGGGTGACCCCGGTCCTATGTCTCACAGGCTGGTTGTACCTCCGAACCTTGCCAGACCCCATGTTTGAGGGCGACATCCTGACTCTGCAGTGCCAAGGATGGAAGAACACAGCCCTGTCCCAGGTCCAGTTCTACAAAGACAGGAAATTACTCCACGACCCGAAGGCCAAATGGTTTCTGCCCATGGGGACAGCAACACTGGAAAGCAGTGGCCAGTACATCTGCACTGGGAAGGTGACCTTCATCCCGGACCTGGGCGCACAAAGGTCAGAGATGACCACGGTTCAAGTTCAAGGTGAGTCACCAGCTTCGGGGGGCCGGGGGGTGGTGGGGACTAGGGTGCTGCTCAGGGATCTGGTCTCTAGAGGTCAGCAGCCCTCCCTCTCGCTGCCCCTGATGCTGGGTGGACCACAGAGCCCTGAGATGTCCACCATGCTGTCCAAGTGCCCTGCCCCCACGGGGTACATCCGGAGCCCGGGGAAGGAGGGGGATGCCCTGGGCCACGGAAGTACCCTGAACCAGCCCGGCCACTCAGTCCCAGAGACCCTGGGCCAGACCCTTCCCTTCTGGGGACCAGATGCCCTATAAGGCCCTCTGGCTCTGGCTCAGGATTCCAGAGGGGCTAGGGTGTAGTCATGGGATGAGAGGTGGGTCCTGGGGGACAATGACGGTGTCTGTCATGGGGCACAGGGCTGTGGCCTGGGATGTGCCCTAGCTTAGACCCCCGCCTCTGGGATCTCAGGGTTCAGGAGTCGCCCCTGAGCCTGGGCCTGCTTCTCCCCAGAGCTGTTCTCACCTCCAGTGCTGAGCTCTGTCCCTTCTCCCGAGCTCCATGAGGGGAGCCCGCTGACCCTGAGATGCCAGACGGAGCTACACCCCCAGAGGTCGGCCTTGGGGCTCCTCTTCTCCTTCCACAAAGATGGCCGCACCTTGCAGAACTGGGGCCCCCACCCAGAGCTCTGCCTCCCAGAAGCCGGGTGGGAGCCTCTGGGCTTTACTGGCGCCAGGCCACCCCCGAGGGTAGCAGGGTCCAGAAACAGAGCCCCCAGCTGAAGGTGAGGTGCAAGGTAAGTGGGGAAGAAGGGGAGACACTCCCCAGGGATATGGGCTTCAGGTAATGGGACCCCTGGGCCTGTGGGGAGGGGTCCCCAGGGGAGGAGGGGCCAGGAGCCTGGGTGGTGTAGGTGAGCCTCCCGCCCCACGTGCTGCCCCAGGTCCTGTGTCCCAGCCTCTGCTCACCCTGAGACCCAGGTCCACTGGCCTTGCTGTGGGGGATGGGGTGGAGCTCCTCTGTGAGACCCAGAATGGCTCCCCTCCAATCCTGTACTCATTCTACCTGATGAGAAGATCCTGGGGAACCACTGTGCTCCCCATGGAAGAGCCGCCTCCTTCCCCTTCACTGTGACGTCAGAACAGGATGCTGGTAGCTACTCCTGCCAGGCTGAGAACAATGTCTCCAAAGAGACAAGTGAGCCCAAGACACTGTCCCTGGCTGGTACGTCTTGTCCCCCACATGGGCTCTGAGCCCCAGCAAGATGGCAGGGGTCAGGTCTCACCCCTCTGTGTACCCCCCACCCACACCTTGCACTGCATGAGTGAGATGGACCCTGCTTGGACTATCTGCCCACTGAACCTGGAGGGAAAGCATGAGATCCATAGGGGGCGGGGGTACTGTACATGGTCATCAGTGGTGTTGCCCATCCATGCTGGTATCCTCTGGACCATCTCTGATTCCATCTACAAGGCTCCTTTAGGGAACCACATGGTTCCCCCTGATGCCAGCCATTCTGCCTCCTCTGTGCCCGTCTGGGGTACATTTCTGAATTTCATCCTCAACGCTCATGGTCACCCCTACTTCACCCCCTAGGTCCTCGGGGCTTGCCTACCCTCACCAGCAGCCCCTGGCTGGTTCCTTGTCTATCTGCGAGCCTGCTTGGTGTGCTGGTCATCGCCACTGCACTTGAGGGCTTACTTCAGACCCTGGAGAAAAACTGGTCAGTGCACTTTTTGACTTTCTTAGTGGCCGAATCCCTATGCCAGGCACTGCCCAGCCTTTGGAGAGCCAGCATCTGAGGGGACCAGCTGCTCCTCTTCAGGGTCTGTGTGGGAGGAGGGACTTCTCTTTACACGTCACACAAAGGAGCCCATGGAGGGATACTTCCAGCTTCCAAAACACACACACACACACACACACACACACTGTCTCATATGCCCATAGTCGCCCAGAGATGTGCACAAACACACAACCACACACTTGGGCCTAAAAAGAGGCATAAACAGAGGAATTCTTACCAGCCAAACTCAATGCACACCAGAGTCCTTCGTGTTTGAAAGACAATCTGGCTGATGAATATGCCAAGAAAACCCCAGGCCGCCAACACTCTGTCAGACCAGAGCTCTGCTAAGCAGAGGAGAAAGAAGGAATGGGAACCCCAGTGAGCATCTGCGTGCTCATGAGCACACACCCATCTTGTCCAGTGCTGGGCCTGAGGGAGTGCTCAGTGGAGGTTCACTCATCAGAAAGGAAACATGGCGGAGATGACCAAGCAATGGCCTGCTCCCAACACTGTCTCCTAATTCTGTGACCTTGGGCCCATTCACTCTAGGAGTCATCAAGTATCTCCCACTTGGGGTTATTGTGAGGGTTTCAGCTAAGGAGATGACATCTACCTGATACCTAACGTGTTGGGCTGGCATCTGCTGGGGTCTCGGTACATTCTCCCTCTAGTCTATGCGGATTCCAGACCCTCCTCCTCTCCCGTCCGGTCATGACAATGAAGCAGGAATGGGGGCTCTCACTGCAATCACCTTGGGTGGCTCCACACTTACTCCTATTCTAACCCTTCTTCACCTCAAGCCACATTTAAGGGAAGGGCTTCCCATGCCAAAGCTTTTTGGTACCAGTTTATTCCTAGTCCTTCAAACCCACCTACAGAGACTCAAATCAGCCCCACCTCCTCCCCCCACCCCAGGGGGGAGAGGAATAAGAATAAGATATCATTATAAATAAGAATATTATTCTTATTTTCCACTTGCCAAGGGAAAAATTGATTGCTCTCACAGACCACCAAAGCTAGGTTTTCTAATTCAAGTTGGCACCTCCGTCTGTTAAAGAATTTGTGGTGAGTTTTTCGGGAGCTGAGCCAGACTACTCTGTGAGAAAGCCCACCCAGTCATGCAATCAGAGTGTTCCTCCCTGAGCGCCAGCCAGGATACCTGAAAGGGCCTCTCCCCAGCCCTGGACCCACTCCCCTGCCTTACCAGCACCCCAGCTAGGGCTTGGGCCAGCCTCCAACTTCCTCTCCCTTTTTAGCAGTCTTTGTCCAACAAATCTTCCCTCTAGTCTCGAGTCGAGGTTCCATGCAGGCTACCTTGCTTTAAGTAACCTGTACGGTAGGAGAAAGATGGAGGCCGGTCCAGAGCTAGATGGGGAGGCAGCTGGAGTAGCAGACCGGGAACTGAAGATGTGTGACTCCTAGCATCCCTGCATCTACAGTAAAGCTTCCTTCTAACGGCCCAGCCATTTACCTGGCCTCAGTAACATGGGCCCTCACTTCTGGGTCAGAGCATTCAAGACAAAGCAACAAGCACAGCTGTCTCCCTCCCAGCCCCCGACAAGATGGCGGAGGAGCAGCCGCTGGTGAAGGATCCTCAAGAGCAAGAAGCCTCTCACGGGGAACGAAAGAACACCCCTCTTCACGTGGAGGCCCTGCCGCTGAGCAGCCCACACGCCCCCCACCCAACCACCACTGCCAACCTGGGAACAGCTGGGCTCCATTGTATTAAGGAACCTGTCTCTCGGGAAAATAGGGCTCCTGGTGGCAGTCTTGGTCCTCTTATCTCAGAAACTCAGAGGTGCAAAACCTTGAGAATGTCACACAGGCCTAATTCCAAAACTTCACAAGAAAAACAGTAGATCAACAGCTTCGTTCCTCACACCCAGCTCTGGAAGACTCTTAACCATCTCCGGATAGCACGTCCACTCCCTCAACAAACAAAAAACGTGCCACCACCAAAGGTATTCGACAGCTGTATCTCTGAAGGCAATTTGCAAACCATTTTGGCCAGCGGGGTCACTGGCACTATGTTAGTCATGCAAGGGGCCCGCTTCCAAAGTAGCACTTGCCTAGGTGTGCCCGCTGCAGTTTGCTTAATAGTGTTCACACCCCACATAAAACAGAGGTCCGTCAAATTCCTGGGGCTCTTCAGTGAATGGAGACTCAAAAACACAGCCCTGACGAATGAGCACTAGGGGATATTTAATAACTGGGAGCTTCTTGGAGTCTCCATAAATGCATTCTTGGTTTTATAGGAAGCACCATTTCCACCAATCCTGCCAGTGATTCTGGTGCCTCCTTGCTATCAGAGATAATAAACATTTCTTGGGCACCAGGCATGAACCAAGTGTTCTAAAATCCATGTGACCCAATCCCTATCCTAGGAGATAAATTTTAAAGTTCTGGGAGCACCTGCTTTCACAGAGGCATCATGCTAGTGGAGAAAAAGCACATAAACTGGATTAAAAGTCTGTCCCTACCACTTACCTTGTGTGACCTTGGAGAAGTCCCCTCTCCCAGCCTCAGACACCTCATCTACATATGATATTATGGTGTCATAGTATCAACCTTTGCAAGATGATCGCAAAGAATATCAGACACCAAAGAGTTAGGAAGGGAGGCTTTTTTTGCCATCCAGCTATGTGCTGGTCGCTGGGTTAGGCCCTGAGCTGTGAAGTAGACATTGTATTTGAATTCCCTGGCATAGTGTGTGGCCAAAGTTATTAGCTTTTCCTTTTTCTGAAATGCAGTCTGACTGGTGAGTCTGGGCCCTCTCCATGCAGGAGTGTGACCCCTCCTTTCGGACCCTGCTTCTCCTAGTTTGTGATTCCCATGGGGCCATTCTACCCTCTAGGGTATTTTTCAAAGGAAACATCCTGTAAAAATTAACCGTGTCTAGACTTGTGAATTAGCTCTCATAAACAAACCAGCCTCAGACCTCCAGCAGCCTCCACTGACTTTCTTTCTCTCAGACTCTTTACCCCCACTGCCCAGCCTGCTCTCTGAAGGATGCCTTTGTATTTCCTAGGGCCCCTCCCAACCCAGAATCCGCCCCCAGCCCCAGGTGGAGAGCAGCACCCACTGTATGGCAATGGTAAGGACTTGCAGCAGGACCATGCGTGGCCTGTCACTGAAGACCGAGAAAGGAGTCTGAGGGGGAACGAAGAGAAGGAAGCCCTGTGAGCCCCAAGTCTTGGGAACCAGTCATTGGGAAAGGAAGTAGATGGCTTCCGGGGAGAGTATGAGGGGCCAGTATTCTGAAGCTGGTGGAGGGACAGGGAAGTAGGAGGGAAGGCCGGCCTCCAGAGGGAGGGTAAGGAGGGTTTAGACCAACGGTTGGCAAACTCTGGCCCATGGGCCAAATCTAGTCCACCAAGTACTTTTGTAAAGAACATTATATATGTATTGTGTATGGCTGTTTTCGCGCTACAGAGCTGAGACCGTATGGCCAGCAAAGCCTAAAATATTGACTCTTTTTTTATAGAAGAAGTTTGCCAACCCCTAGTTTAAACAAAGTCAGGGCTGGTGAAGCTGCTAGAATCTGCTATGGGGGCAGGCAGCTTCCACCAAGATGGATATCCCACAGTAATGACTGCCTCCCACTCCCAGTTACCACCATGACAGAGCCCCTGATTGGCTTCCCTCCAGAGGTGTCTTCAGGACACTGATGTCTTGAGGTGGGAGAGCAGGTGGGTCCTATTCAAGCCTCATTCCTTTTTTCAGTCACTTGGCCGAATGACAATGAGGAAGATGATATTTACTCTTCAGTGAATATAGTCCCAAAGGAGAGTGAAGGTGAGTGATCTCGAACTAAACTTGACATGTTTGCTAATGTAAAAGGGAAGTTTTGGGCCTGGCTTGAGGTAGTTGACTACCATTAACATTACCATTTTACCACAACAACTATTGTTATCATCTCTCTGACCACCACCACCTCTACCACCAACACCACCAACACCACCACCAACAACAACAACAACAACATCAACACCAATACCACCAATACCAACAACACCAACACCAACACCACCAACGACAACAACATCAACAACACCAATACCACCAATACCAACACCACCAACACCAACAACAACAACAACATCAACAACACCAATACCACCAATACCAACACCACCAACACCACCACCTCCACCACCAACAACAACACCAATACCACTATCTCCACCATAATGACTATCTTCAACATCATCTCCACCACACCACCACTGCTGCCACCCTACCTAGAGAGTTTTTTTGCCTTCTTCTGAGCGCTGTGGAGGAACAAAGAAAAGAGAGAAAGGAATGATGCAGTTTGTCTTTGTCCCACAGTATAAGTCTCAGCAGGACAGTCCCAGCTCTGAGAGGAGCCAAGAAGACCATGAGCTCCAACCACAGATACCAGAATCAGATGGCAGGGATGGGGAAAGGCTAGTCCTCTCTCCCACGGAGACGGGTCAACCTGGTGACGTGGGAAGAGTATGAGTTTCTGAGTCAGTCAGACCTGAGTTGAAAACCTGACTGTAGGGCACCTGGGTGGCTCAGTCGTTAAGCGTCTGCCTTCAGCTCAGGTCATGATCCCAGGGTCCTGGGATCGAGTCCCACATCGGGCTCCCTCCTCGGGGGGAAGCCTGTTTCTCCCTCTCCCCCTCCCGCTGCTTGTGTTCCTGCTCTCGCTATCTCTGTCTCTGTCAAATAAATAAATAAAAAATCTTAATAAAAAAAAAAAAAAAGAAAAGAAAACCTGACTGTATATACCCACTGAGCGACTGGGCAAGTTATTTAAGCTCTCTGAGCCTAATCTATAAAGTGGAGATAATGCCTACTTTGCAAGACTATCATAAGTCACTAAGGATAAGAACATAGGTTCTAGACACCTTAAAGATTGTCTGGTGTGTCATAGGTGTTCACAAACAGGAAGCTTTTTGTTTTTGTTTTGCTGAGATTTCTATTCCTGGTCTGTAAGATGGGTTTGAACCAGCCTGGGGTTTCTGCCATGAAGGGCAGTATGGGAAATGGACAAACAGCGAGTCTCCTGAGCTCAGGGCCACTTTCCCCAGGACCCAAGCATTGGTGGGCAGGTAGGAAAACACATCCAGGCACAGTTCCTTCCAGAGGAAAGTTACAATGAGAACTTAAACACCAGAAAGAAAAAAAGAAGCCAACTCTAAATATGTGGTTTTCCTGGACAAAATAAGGAAATGTGGCTGTTTTAATCCTACCACGGCAACAAGGCAAAGGCATGATTCGGGGCGAGGCAGCCTGCTCCCAGCTCCTGCTTGCAAGATGCAGGCTTTCGCTGAGGGGAGGGCGAGGGGGTCTGAAACCCAAAGGCAGGAGAGGCCATTGTGTTCCAAGATGCACAGGAAGGGGATGCTGGATCTGTTATCCTTGGGAGAATGCTTCACGTTTGCAAAGATTTGATATTTGCCTACAGTTGCCCTTCTTATGGATATGACCCTCGGGAGTATTAGCCGCTCTGAGCCTCCGTTTTCTCATCCCAATTTGAGAAGGAATTAGTCGTCTCTACTTGGCAGGACTGGTGTGAGACTAATATAATAAATACAATCCTCACACCTGAAGGACTGCCCGGTGCATGGTAGAGCTGTCTGATGTCTTGGACACGTTCGTTTCTCTTGCTTCTCACCGTCATCCCTGTGAGGCAGTCACCATTACCACCACCTCCTTTCTCCCTGGCTGGGGAAGCTGAGGTCCCAGGGCTAAAAGGCTGGCCTGCAGCTGGGCTGTGGTTGAGCTGCGCAGACCCAGGCCTCCTGGTTCCTGGGCCCACCTGTGTTCAGATGGCAGGTGAGCGTCCTGAGAAGTGAAGAGGGGAACAGTGCTCCCTGGGCTGGGGGGGGGGTGGGACAGCAGGTGCACGGGTGAGCCAGACAGCCTGACCCGAGTGTTTCTCTTTCCCCCACAGCCGGGCCTGCTGAGTCAGCCTAGGGGGCCTGGGTGAGTTGGACCCCTGCTCTTCCCTCCCCCTCTGTGTTGCATCTGCCTCCTCATCCTGACCTAACTCTCCCACAGGACACTTCTGTCATCTACACCGAGGTGAAACACTCGAAACTTGGTGAGGTTCCAGCCAGGGGATCGAATACAAGAAGCAGGACCCACAGAGTCCCCTTGGTAACTTCGAGGAGGTGTTGGGGCATCCCCCCAACACCACCCACCCGAGGCCTCCAGTGCTCCCCAGGAGGCCAGCAGAGACCCCAGTCCCTTCTGCAGGTCCCCAATCCCTGAGCCCAGCAGTGAGGGAGCCCGGCGTCCCGGCCAGGGTTCCGAGGAGACTCGAGGAACACCTAAATGATCTCTGGGCTGCCCTCTGAGTGGAAGAACAGGAACACGTGGGCAAGGGCATCCCCGTTCACACATGAGTTCCAAGCAGTGGGCCAGACACAGAAGCCACAGATGTTTTCTTGCACATGAGTGGAAGGGTTGAAGTGCCTTCTCTCCAACATTTGTAAGGACTTTCTAAGATGGCCCTCAGTCCCTGTGCATGGGCTTGGCCTCTCCCTGAAGGAGAGAGCTAGCCCCTGGGCAGCTCGGTAGAGCATTTCCAGTTTCCAAGCTGCCGCTGAGGCCGCTGAGTGACCACAGGGCTAAGGACCTCTCAGGGGCTCGGGCAGACCAAGAATTGGGGGGAAAGGCCTGGCCCAGATAATAGCACAGAATTCTCAACCCCAAAGCCAGAGCCCCCCTCCCAGGCACTGAGAGCCCGGCCTTCTATGCAACCCATTTCTGCTCAGACCCCTTCCGGCGACCAGGTTACCAAAGTTGCTGGAACTGAGGCTTGCCCCAAAACCCCATTTGTAGAGTATATCAGAAGACTCGGTTACCCATCATGTGTTTACCAAGATACACGCTTGTAGAATCTATTTGTTCATAGAAGCGTATCAGTTTGTTTCATACTATTCACCAATGCTGATCACTCATAGTGCCTCAAGGTTGGTTTGGTTTGGCTTGTTGAGTCCATACTCCTTGATGCTGAGGGTTTAGTCCTAGTAACTACGAGGATTAGTTCTCCCTGCTCTGCCTCCCAGCCCTGGTTCCCTGCAGGCCCCTGCTCCTGAATCACAGAGTGAGGTCCCCGTCACGCTGCTGGACGTCACCAACCCCACCCACCTGTCCTGGGAATAGGCCCACGTCCTGCCCACCCAGAGCTCCCGCTCAGGTGCCCCTGAGCTGCCCACAGCCAGCATTCATCCTTGAACTTAATAGAAATGCATCCACTCAGACTCAGACCCAGACTGCTGAATCCTGATCTGCATTTAAGTAAGATCTGTAAGCTGTTGGTATGCACGTAAAGTTTAAAAAGCCTGGTCTGCCTCCAAAAGACACTTCATGGGAGTACCTCCGTCCACTCGCCTTTGGGAACATCACTGGATAGGACAGAGGGCCCAGAGAACTGCTAAGACAACCCTTGCTAGCATTTCCCAGCTTCCCCGGGGCCTTCTCTCCTCAGGGCCATCCCCCACCTGACCTTCCTCTTCCCCAGCCTCTTCGGCTTCCTCCCCATCTCTCTCATCACTGGTCCAGTCCGTGTCCAGAAGACATCAGGGCCCCTGCCCTTCACTTCTTCATCTGCCAGGCTGGGAAGCACATGCCAGGTCATCTAGAAGCCCAGGGTCCTTGCTGGTCAATCAGGAAGGACCTGCAGGAGCCAAGCCTTGCCACGCCCTCTATAAACAGTCTGGCCCCTTATAAAGAGTCAAGTCAAAGACAGGACAGCTCATGAAGGAGACACTGATGATGGGGAGTGGGAAGGAGCTGGCACTGCCAGTCGTCCCCATGGACCAGCTCCTCCCTGAGCATTCACACCACCCGCCCCCTGCCCCACACCGGTGACACTGGAGCCTGTCTGTGGATGGTGTTTACCAGTGCAGGGCAGGATAAGTGGAACGGTGAAAAGCAAGAACTTAGAAACTTTTATAGCAATCTGACAGAGTAATACAATCATAAAAAATAGGGCTTATATTTTGGATGTCTCTTTTATTTCTTTTTTTAGTAAATTGCTTTTATCGTATTCTACGGAAGTATAAGTCCACAATGGATTCAAAATAAAGAGAAACATTTCCTTTGACACAGGTGAGAAGCCCTATCCTACACACACAGACTCACACTCGCACTCACACACACACGCACACCTGCGGCTCTTCTCTCCTGCACTTTGCTCCTTCCCC